GGGATGGGGGCCGGGGCCGGGGCCGGGGCCGGGGCTGGAGAGAACCCACCTGGCCGAGCTTGTAGCCCATGCTCCCCAGCTCCCGCTCGGGGTTGGTCCGGAGTAGCAGCTTGTCGGGGCTGATGAGGACGCCTGCAACCAACACCACCGTGAGGCTGAGGGGCGGGGGCCTGGCCTCAAGGCTCAACGCAAAACCCCACCTCTGAGCCGCATACCCCCCGCCAGCTACTCTGCTCGGGCCTCTGACGGCCCCTACGGAGCCCGCAGGCCTCTGGTTTACCACTCTGTCACCCGTTAGACTGACGGCTGTGGGGCGAGCCTGGACTACCACAGGCACGGGGCAGAGCTGACGGAGCTCACAGCCCTGACGACGGTGCCCACGGCTGAGGCCTCCCAGCTCTGCCTCGGCACTGGGAGGTGTGGTCCACCCTCTCACCAGGTGCAGGGCCGGGCCGGCTTCCCCACGCCGCCTGTCTCTCCCCACGTACACCCATCACACACAGCCCACGTCCCAGACCATTCGCTGCCTCACCCCCTGTGCCCCACCCCCTGGCACCCAGCGGAAGGCCCCATCCCTGACTCTCCGCCACCCTAGCTTGCTTCAAAATCCTATGGTAAAAATACCAACACCCCCAGCTTTGCCCGGAGAGTCCAGGAGCCTGTATAATTCCTGAGGAAACCCTGCCAGGAGGCTCCCAGCCCTCTGCCCTGGGAGCGCCCGCTATCCTCAGAGCTCCCAGGCCCCTTCTTGGCACCTCCTCTGGTCTGGCCTCCGAGGTAGCGAGTTGGGTCCCCTTCCTGTCGCTCCTCTAAGCCTGGAGCTCTGTGACTGGGGCCAGAGCGTGCAGAACCCTGCGGGAGCTGCTACACACATAAGCCCCGTCCGGTCAGCCTGCCACACCAGTGTTCCCATTACACACATCCCGGCCACGCCCGAGCCCGAGCACAGTCTTCCCCCACCTTTGCAGAGGTACCTGTCGTAGCTGGGGACAGAGAAGGGACAGGGTCCCATGCTTGGTACGGGTGATGAGTGGCAATATTTTCTCTCCTGGAAACCATTGCCTGAACTTCCTGCTCTACAATTCCTCTGATGACACTCAACTTCCTCCCAAACCTGCAATTCAAAGCCAGGGTTAGGGAGCTGTCTGCACCCTCCAGGACCCTAACAGAGAGCACACCCGACTCCTCCAGCTTCGCGAGCTCCTGCCTGCTCCTCCACCTCCAGGTGTGCTACCAGCTTGTGTCTTCTGGTTCTGCCAGGGCCTGCCCACAGGTCACTTCATGTCCTGTGACAGCCTGTCTCCAGGCACCGAGCCACCCCTGGAGCCCCGGGAACACTCCCCCTTTCCAGCACCTCTTGGAGCAAGGTGCCAGGCGCACAGGGTTTTGTTTCCCATTTGACAATGGAGGAGGGTGCACCAGCGGAAGGGCTGGTTCCCTGGGAGGCCCTCCGTTTCCCACTAGTGCTGTGCCCAAGGACATGGCACTGGATGCAGACCTGGTGTCCAGAGCTTTCAGCGGCTTGTTCCGGGGCTGTTGCTCCAAGCAGCTCACGGCAGGGTTGCCAGCCACGGGAACAGTCATGGCACTCAGCACCAAGGAGGTGATGGCCTGCACTGCCAGGACGTTGATCTGCGTCCTCTCTGTGTCTTCCTATAAGGAGAGCCCGTGGGTTATGAAGGTATAAGCAGCAAAGCCGACCAACCCACCCCGTGTCACTTCCACACAGAGTGAGGCAGACCACAACCCTGCAGCCAGAGGCCCACAATGGCCTAGTTAGGTGGAGAGGAGGCGGGAGGGTGCGTGGGAGGAGGACCAGGGTGCCAGGAGGGATCGGGTGCCCGGCTGCGATCTGCGTCTGCGTGAGTTCACATCGGTGCAGCACAGCACTCACACACGTCTATGTGCCCTGAAATAAATCTACTGGGGAAATGTCTGCTTTTCAGAGCAGGTTTCCTGTGAGCTGTGAACTCCAGAGGAGTTATGCCTTAGGGAGCCGCCCTTCCCTGTTTTCACTGACCCGAGGGGCTCTGTGTGCCCGTCAGCTCCCAGCTTTAAGACAAGCTCGACTGGTTTCCTTCTGAAGGGCTACTTTTGAAAGTTCCTATCAAAACGAAGGAGCTGTATCACATGACTTTTCTAACTGTGCTTCACGAGCACCTGAGAAGCCCAACAATCTCTATGAAACAGTCAGGGAAAACCACCACAGGGCCACACTCGTGGCCTTTACCAAGTGTCTTTTTTCTTTAACTCAAATCACACACTCCTCCAAATAGCAATAAACTAACAGAACTCAAAAGTGCTGTCACACCAGAAGAACTAGATGGTGCCCGGCTACCACTAGCATCCACTTGGAAGGGGATCTATATAGGAGATCCTTGATAGAGAGGGAGAACAATGTGGACCAAAACTCAAAATCATTTGGAGGGGGAAAAAAAAGGGGAGGGGACCAGGTTTGCTGGTCCAATAGAGCCTGGTGGAACCACTGAGGCTATGGCCCCTAGTTGCCCTTCAGGTCTGGAATTGAACCCACACCTGTGGTTTCCAGCCAAACAAAATATAGGCATGTGAGTTAAACATTTACCTCAAGTAGACACACGCCCTGGAGAGAACAATCACGGGTGAAGGAAGGGCTGCTTATGCACAGGGAGACAGGTCAGGGGGCAGGAGTGCATGGAGGGATGGTCACTGGGAAGAAGTAACTATGGGGAGGAAGTGGGAGGGGAGCTGTTGCATTGTGGTAAACTGTGGTCAATGTCATGAGACAGTGTATGTGAACTGCTGTATGGAAAGTGAATTTGCTCTGTAAATCTTCACCCAAATCACAATTAAAAAAAAAAAAATGCTGTCACAAATACATCTGGCACTCCATGGACCTGCACCCCAGGGGCCAAAACCTCACGCTGCCTCAGGGTCCAATGGCCTGTCATATACCATGTTGCAGTCCTAGAAATTTCAGACAGGCCAATGTCTGGGGATTTGTTCCTGGTCAAGAACACCCGTCACACACCATCTGGCTTATTCCTTTAAAAATAACACAGGACAGAAAAAAATGAAGCTTTCTTGTGCTCACCACTGAAGGCTGACAAGCTGCCTGCTTGGTCAGCCTGTCCCAGGGTCCCAGCCACAGTGTTCACATGGCACCGGGCCCACCTGGTCAGCTGGTCCCAGGGTCCCAGCCACAGTGTTCATATGGCACCGGGCCTGCTTATGGTCTTACTTCAGGTTGGCTCTCTTCTTGCTCCATCACGAGGGGCTGCGTCACCAGGACACCAAGGAGGGTGGCCCATGTTTCCTCAAACTGGGTACGGCTGGTCCACCCTAGAAATCCAAAGATTAGATGAGAAGAGAGTTTCTCTGAATTTCCGGATTGTCGTCGCTCACACTCAACTCCTGGTGGGACGGACACTGCTCCAGGACCATCAGGGATTAACTCCTTCAGTCCTCACAGCTGGTCTCTGACACGGGGGAGACACCATCCCCATTCAACCAAAGAACAAAGCCAAACACAGAAGTCTGCTCCACTGCCCAGGCCACATGACAGGTAAGCAGCACAGGTGGGATTTAAACCAGGGCCAGTTTCCACACCTGACCACAGCCACGGGCACTCACAGTGAGGTAAGGGGCCTCAGGGGAGCTGTTCTGTCCACCTTAGGCAGTTAGGCCATCAGGCTGTGGTGATGTAGAACTACGACTGCTCACACTGACCTGTCCACCTGACACAGGTACTAACTCCCCTGACCTTTCCACCTGACGGAACTAGCCCCACTGACCTGTGCACTCGAAATGGACAGACTGCAGGATGTGGGAGTTTTACCTCAATCAAGCTGCTAAAAAAACAAAGTTAAACCAATGGGTTCTAGGACCCTGTTGAGAAATGGCAAGAAGAGAAGAGCAAAAAGAACCTAATCCACTTAGGGACACTGCAGGGCTGTGAGGACTTGTCTGCCAGGTCACTCTCAGGTGTCATCACCAATAGGTGACATTCATGTGGTCATCCATAAACGCTCCTTCTGAGGCACACTTAATGGTGGCCACACTAACTGCATTCAGTCTACAGGTAATAGGATTACATCAGTGAACATGAGCAAATACTAGTTAGCATAAGGTATGACGTGCAAGTTAAACCTGGCTTCATGTTGTCACCTGTAAGTGTACCCCTCCTGACTGCTAATAAACATGAGGTATAAAAGTGGAGACATGGAGTCAGGCACATGTGTGTATGAAAACCCGGGGTCAGGCACATGTGTGTGTACACGTGTGTGCACAATGATCACATGCTTTGCAGCCATAAAGGGTTCCGGTATGTGCTGCAGAATGCCTCCACCTCTGTTCCCATCACCTCCCAACTCTCTCACTGAGAAGAGCCCACGGCGAGGCCATGGCTCTCAGCAGGTGGAAAGGGTCTGGGGGGACGGTACCTAGTGTGTTGATTCGGTAGATGAACTCTTTGAAGACTTCTTTTTCCTGAAGGAACTCGACAGGGATCTCCGGGAGCACGGTGCCAAAGTCCCCTCCGGGTTTGGGTGACCATCCGAGCTTCCACACCTGAGGACACAAGGAGCAGCAGCCTCACCCAGAGCCTGTCAGGATAGCTAAGCAGGCCTGTGAGGGAGGAAGGAAATGCCGCTCCTCACCCCCTCGCTCTGCTGAGCCCACCCCCCCGGGGACGCCTCCACAGCCTTCCTGAAAATGGCACCAACTCTTCTGTCACAGGCCGCTGCTCTGACAGGAATATACCAGAAATAGGACGGCCTTAACAAACAGGTTTATTATTCTCTCCCAGTTTGGAGGCTTTAAGTCTGAGTTCAGAGCGCCAGGCACTAGGGGCTGGGTGAAAGCTCCTCCACTTTGGGCTTCAGTTTTGCCTCTTGTTCCTGGCCCACTGAAGCTGGAGGCTTTTCTTCACTCAGCTGCTGGCTGCTGAAGCTTATAAGCCCAAGGTTGACAAGTAAAAAGACACAGTCCCGATGTTATCAAACCACATGGCAGGCCATTCATTGAAGTCCATTGAAAGTCTGAAGGTCGGCAGAACATGGCAGGCTGCTGAACAACGACACAGCTCCACACAGGGTCCAAGCGTGCCATAATCCAGAGACCGTTCCCCAAGACTTCTCCTTACATACGGGAAGCAGACCCCATCCCCAAGGCAGCTCCTCAGCTGCTGAAAGCACATTCCACCATGGAGCTGATGACCAGTCTCATCACGGGGAGCACCACCTCCAGCTGCCCAGCCCCTCAGCCAGGCCCCGCCACGCTGACACACGGACTGAGCCTCCACAGCCGCCGCCCCTTCGAGGGCCCCACGTCTGCTCTGACCTCCCGCCCCTTGCCTCTTCCTCTCACCTAACACTCCACACCCAGGTCAGTTTCGCAGTCTGTTAGGCAGATTCTTGTGGATGCTATTGGTAGCCTCCAACCATCAGGGGAGGTCAGGGTTAAAGAGAGGGCCCCCTGCCTACAGGATGACTCAACTCACTGCCATCGAGTCGATTCTGACTCATAGTGACCCCCTAAGGGTTTCCAAGGCGGTAGATCTTTACTGAAGTAGACTGTCCCATCCTCCTTTCTCAGACCAGCTGGTGGGTTTGAACCGCCAAACTTCTGGTTAGCAGTGAAATGCCTTAAGACACCACGCCACCAGAGCTCCTGCAGGATGACAGAGGGTGTGATAAAAACCAGCCACATATCAAGGAGATCATGGCAAGCAGGCCTCAAAACAGCCCCAGTGTCCTCTTCTAAGGCCGGGGGTCCCACTCAATGCCCTTCGGTTGTCCAACAGGCGGCACGCGGGGACAACCCCGCAGGGCAGACACAGCCTCCTAGCCAGCCCTGCCAACAGGCTTCCCTGGACTGGGAGGGGAGGCCTGCCAGCCACAGGCTGAGCGCCCACTCTGGGCCCCGCAGCCGTGTGTCAGGCAGGGCCTCTGAGAGGCCCGCTGGGGTCACTCATCTCACCGAAGAAGTAATTCTGCTTCAAATCTCAGCTGTTACCCCACTTTCCAGGGCAGCACAGACTGAGGCACCCGCAGGTGAGTCCCAGTGCCCATTTCCAACCACGGCCCCACACAGGGCTCTGCCACTGTAGATGAAACCACGTGCTCGGCTAGGGTGCCCTCGGACTATTCTCAAGGACGGCTTGTCTACCTGCATGTCCCGGCCAAGGTCCCCCAGAGACCATGACGGCAGTCCCAGCTTCCTGTGCCCAGGCTCCCATCTCCTCAGGGAGCACCGTTAGGCTCAAGCCTCCCCACTGCTCCCCATCCCGCTCTGGTCTGCAGTCCCTGCCTCCATGGAGGATGAGGCCGAGAGGCCTTCCTGCCACGCGGCTCACATGCCGCAACCTGGCAAAGACCCTCATCTCAAGCACTGCCCCACCCTCCCTATGCCCCAGGGGCTCTGGGCTTTAGAAGTGCCAACCACATCCAGGACTGCCACACTCCAGGTGTCTTCTCAGAGAGGGGTCCCGCCTGGAAGCCCTTACCCCGGGAACGCCCCTCAACCCTCATGGTTCCTACAGAGAAGCACCGGGCCTGTGGGCACAGCCTTACCCTTGGGACCAGCTTTGTGTGGTAACGTTCACCCCGTATTTCCCCTGATGGACACCAGCCTTCTTCCCTGCTGTGGGGGGCACTGTGGCTGCAAGGCTGGGGAGGGGAGGGAGCAGGCCCCCTGGGAAAGGTGAGCCAGGCCCTGTCACCTGCACCCCTCCGCCAGCTCTCTGGTTACTGACCAGAGACCCGAGCACAGCACAGACTCTACACTGATGCTGACGACCATCTCAACAGACAAGCTGGAGTGCACAAAGGACCCCCAAGGTGACTCACAGGAAAACGTCACCCGACCATCCTCTGGTTCATCATCACCGCCGACAACCAGTGGGGGCGGGGCTCCAGTAACAGGGCAACGACACACCTCGCTTCCCCAACACCAAGGAAACAAGACCGATGTCACATGTGAGAGGCATGGCCACGACCATGTGCTGAGAAGCCGTGGCCAGGGGCTTGCTGGTACATTTCACCCTATCTCCGTCTCAGGCAGAGAGTGAACTCACCAGGGGTGGGACCCGCGTGTAGCTGTTGACGAGGGGCAGGCGGGCCAGGCTGATCACGACGTTCCTGAGCACGGGTGTGAGGAAGGCGGGCGTGTTGCTGCTCTGCCTGTGGCCCGGGGCCAGCACCGACTGCAGGGCCTCCACCATCTCCGCCACCATCTCACAGGCTGCGGTGACCCACTGAGCCTCTAGGTGAACAAGAGCCTGCTGTCGGCACACCCACCTCCAGAGGGCCAGGCCAGGGGAGTCCTCCTCCGCCTCCCAGGTGCCTCAGCATGGTCTCCATCCCCGCCAGCACTGGCGCAGCCATCTTGAGCCTGTCTCCTGCCCTTGGTCTCCAGCTCCTCTCCCACCCTCAATGCTGCCCACCAACACCCAGGGCCGGCGTGCAGTGCCTCAGCCCACAGCACCCACCAGGATGCGTCCCTCCCCTCCACTGTCTCTGGTCCTCCCAGGACCCTGGGCTTGTCCACTGAGGGCATGTAAAGAACCATGCTGGACCCTCTGATATCTGTGTCTCCCCCAGCTGAGGGCTCCCTGTGGCTCAGGATGAGATCGGGACACATCGCCTGCCTGTGCGTTCTCAAACGAGAGGTTTGGGTCCCAACCAAAACCCCTAAAGCAGGCTGTTGAAACCCCAGCAGTACACACAAGTGGGGGACTGCTTGGCATGCAGTCTGGTCTGCAGGTGGCATGAGCTGAAGGACATTTGGGATCAGAGATGGACTTCACCAACAGCCCAACAGACCCAACTGTGTAGGCAGCTCCCACTGTAGAAAATGGACTGTCTGGGTGTGAGGAGAGCAGAGAAGGGACCATCTGGGTGTGAAGAGAACAGAGAAGGGACCGTCTGGGTGTGAGGAGAGCAGACAAGGGACCCTGCGGGTGTGAGGAGAGCAGAGAAGGGACCGTCTGGGTGTGAGGAGAGCAGACAAGGGACCCTGCGGGTGTGAGGAGAGCAGCCTTGCCACATGACCCCCAATTCAACATGCTCTGCCAGGGGCCCCGACTGTCTCCAGTAGAAGTTCACGTAACTAAAATAATGGGTACCATCCACTGAACGTTCACTGTGAGCCCAGACTGTCCTCAACGCCCACCCACGTGTACTAGGTTAACCCTTAGAGCCATCCTGTGATGTCAGCACTGCTCTGGGCATCTCAAAGGGGCAAGGTGGACAACATGCTTCAGGCTGCGGAGCCTGGAGGAGCCCGGCAGTGATGTGTACACTTGGCACTTTCCTCAGGGACACACTAGACATCAGGGGACCACAGAGGAAGGGCTGGAAGGAGCCTGAGAGGCCCGAGAGCAGCCAATGCTGGGTCCTGGTGTGTAGTAAGCATCACTGCTCTAGGTGGGCTGCCTCATGAACTGTGGACCCGTGAGCAGGAGGGACCAGTCCCAGGAGAAGGACATCGTGCTGGGGAAAGCAGAGGGTCAGCAGAGAAAAGGAGGACGAGAGGGGCTCAAGGAGCAGTGGCTGTGGACAGCTCAGCACCAGACGGCGTTTGTGCCGCTCCACACGGGTTGCTAGGAGGTGGAACTGACTTGACAGCACGGGACACCATCTGGATGGCTCTGCCATCACAGAAACCTGAGCGCAGAACCAGAGGGAAAGCACCATGTTCACGACTGAAGACAGGGCAGCTCCGTCCCCAGAGAGCACAAAGGCGGACCAGAAAGACGCAGCACTTGTGTGGATCACAAACAGAGAGGATGCCAGTGCTCTAAGTAAGAGCTTTCCTGAGTGGGCAGGAAGCCCGGGTGGGACGCTGCATCCTGCCTGTGCACGGCTGCCACCCGGCCTCCCAGGCCTGGCAAGTGGCTCAGATCCGGCCTCAAGTGGCCAGCACAGCGAAAGAGCCTGGACACCACAGTTGCCACAGGAGTCCTTTTCCTCCCAACCACCTTGCCATCGCTCTCATAGCAGGACACCTACTTCAGGATCAGGAGGGGAGGATACGGTGCGTGACTCAGCCCAGAACAGGTTTAGGTGACTGGGATTGTTTTTCATTCCCTAAGGAAGGATGGCAATTTTCTTTAAAAAAGCCACCAAACGGATGGCTGACACAGACATCACGTCCTCCCACACTCAAGTGGTAGTTCCCCCGACCTCTAGTCCTTGGTGTCTCCACCTCTTCACTCACTACCGACAAGTGCGCGTCACCACAGGGTGTCCGAGAACACAAAGAAGGGCATGGGGACAGGAAGAGTGAAGACGGAAAGGTGTGCCGGGAGGGGCGGTCAGGGGGGCCTGTGGCCCCAAGGGCAGATGAGGGGCGGGGCTCAGACAGCACTTCCATCTCCGCCAGGGAGGCTGAGCCAGCGTCCTAGACTCATGTCCGCCACGTCCAGAGTCCCTGTAGCGAGTGAACTCCAAGCCCCAGAGGGAAACAAGGTGAGTCTGGAGACATACGTGGGGTGTTTGAGTCCACTCCATTCTCTCTGATGGCCTTCGGAGCATTTGTCTTCCTCTCTGGGCTAAGAAGCTGGTCCCCAGGCTGCACTGCAACTGTAATACACCACAGTCACCAACATGTCACCATCCTCTTGTTCAAATCCCCACAGTCGTGTGGCCACATGGAGACTCCCAGGGAGGGGCTGGCAGGTGAGGCCTAGCCTCCCACCCGCCACTGTGAGACAAGCAGTAGAACTAGATGACCCCAGACTCAGGACCCAAACCCCTTGGTTACTCTTGAATTTCAAAGACTTGGATGTCTGTGTGCAGGTTTCTATATCCCTCCACTGCCTACTATTTGCCGTCTCTAACCCTGAAGGCTTTTATCAGATATTTCATGATTCATTACAGCTTGAAGCACAACCCCCAAGAAGTTTGGCTTTGATAAAAATCAATCCCTGGATCATGGTTTTCAAGCTGTTACAACACACAGATGAAAACAATTTAAACCAAGAAACTTCGGAACACTGCTCTATGGTGTTTAATTTAAAAACACAAGACTTCAAAAAACACCCCCTAATATGTAAGCTATAATGTCTCATTTTTTAAAAATTTCCACTAATGACCCTCACCGAGAACACAGTCCTTAAAAAGAATCAGTAACTTTGATTTTATGAACTGTTGGGATTACAAAGCAGTATAGAAATGAGCCTTTTGACTACAACAGAAAGCAAGTCAGCTTTTGAATATAATCCTATTAATCTTATGATCACTTAGGACTGAAAACATGAAATAGGCAACTAGGGCCAGAGATCAAAGGGACACAGCATTCAGAAGTATTTTCTGAGAAGGCTACAGCCCTAAGAGCTTAACCAATGGACTACAAACCCTAACTCGAGTTAAACGCCAGCGTCAGCTCCTAGAGACAGGCTCTCAGCCTCCCCCAGCAGGTGTCTGCCGTGGGCCTGGCGCTCGGAGGCCGGGTCTGTGTGTGCGTCCACTCACCGGCCTCGAGGATGAAGCGCACACAGTGGATGAGGGAGCAGGCGTGGCTCACGAACTCCGAGGACGAGACCAGGAGCCAGAGGCCCGGCCGCTGCAGTGCCAGGCAGCAGCAGTCCAGGCCGGCCTGCAGGTCCAGGCTCAGCGGCATCTGCTTGTGGGTTAAATGCCACGCCAGGGCCTGCGGGAGAGGCACGTCACGGGGCATCAGCACGGCTTCCTGGGGGTGGCACCCGAGAGGGGCAGCAGGGCGGCTCCGTGAGCAGTTGCGGGGCCACTCGGGAGGCCAGCAGTCGGAAGGGCCCAGCCCTCCTCAGCACTCCCTCCTGCCTCCAGCCCCAGTCCCCCACTGTCCCCGGCACTCTGTCCTGACGCTGCCCCCCCAGCCCCTCACTGTCCCCAGTGCTCCCAGAGGTCCAGCTGGCTCACACCAGGGCTCCTGTCTGCTGGGTGCCCATCCTGCCCAAGCTGCCTCTTTCTTGTTCAAGACAGCTCCGTGGCCTCTGAGAGCCAGTCCTCGGCCCAGGGCCCCCAGGGAGACCTGGAGCTTTCTCTGAGCTCCCACGGCACCAGGCTGGCCTCTGCACAGCCACGGTGGCTGTGCTCCTGAGAGCGTGGGTTCTGGAGACAGAAGTGGATTCTGATGCCGGGTCAGCCACATTCCTGCTGGGAGAACCTGGGCAGCCGCTCTGCGCTTTGCTCTCCTCGTCCATGAGACGGAGCTAACAGAGCCCTCTTCACAGGCCCACCAGACAATCAAGTCAGTTTAGACAGCCAGCAGGCTTGTCCCACACACAGCAGGCTCGCTGCACACAGCAGGCACTTTGCAACTGCCAGCTGGGCAGTGACCACCCTGTGTGTAACCGTGTCTGTGTGGTGGCCTTTCCACTGAACGGAAAACTGGAAGGACAGGGATCGTACCCCATCACGCTCGGCCCAAGGCGTGCCCAGTTTAGATACATGCATGCAGTGTTTCCTGAATGGCTGCATGAATGCCCTTTGGACAAGTGTGCCTTTGGTGTGAGGTCGTAGGAGGGCTGGGCGGGGTCAGGGGGGCCGGGCCATGCTGCTCTGGCTCAGGAAGGGCCCAGGCCAGCCCGTTTGCAGAGGTCTTCCGGGACGGCAACACGCTCACAGCACGTGTGCGTTTCTCTGGTCATCATCAATGTGAGCGTCACCTGTGCATTCAGTGCCTCGTGGCTCAAGTGCCAGACCCACTGCTCCATCCAAGACAATGAACTTCCCAGATCCCTGTATTTTTCTGGTCTCTAAAATTAGGGGCCACATCATATTTTAGGGCTCTTTTTCTCTGGAAAAAAATTTAAATGGCTGGCCTGTCCTATAGTCAAAGGCTTCATAGAATCAAGAAAGTACGGTTACACACAGCGGACGTGACCCATACTCGGTATCTGGGAGGTACCCGCAAGGGCTTTGAGGCATCTCTCCAGTTATCTTGGCTTTTCTGCTTTGGGCGCCCTTTCCCCTAAGCCACTCCAGACACAGAGAGAACGGACACATGGATGGACAGAGGATGGCGGCGGGGAGCCCACACTCAGCCTGGCTTCCGGAGCACCAGTTGCCTCAGCTCTGCAGTGGGGATGGACGTAAATCCTGTCCTAACAGTCTCCTAAGGTCACCTCCTGTCTGAAGGGACCAGTGAGGTCAGGGCTGTGAGAGTGCCCAGGCAGGGAGGAGACACGGGGTGACCAAGGCCAACTGTGACCTTGTTGGCAGCACGTCAGGTGGGCTGCTCAGAGCTCCTGGTTTGCAAACGCCTCTCTCTCTTACCCTCCACACTTGGCCCTGCCCACAGACACACGCCGTCCATCTTACCTCCAAGCCCTCTCGCATGCCACCCTCATCCTCTCACCTCGAGTGTCATCACCACAAACTTGACAGTGTCCCGCTCCTTCTCAGGGGGGAGGTGCAGATGGCCGGGCACTCTGGGGAGTACCACCAGGTACTGCGCCAAGGCCCGGGCCAGTGTGGTCAGCGACTGGTACAGCGTGGCGTCCCCTGAAACAGAGGAGCTGTGAGGGGGACGCTCCATGGCAGTGGCCTTGGCCCTCTGAAAGGCAATCGCGCCCTCCTCTGAGGGTCTGCTGAGAGCCTCTGAGGGTCTGCTGACAGCAAGTACCTTTCCTCAGCAGAGACACCCAGTGCCGGGCACGTGATTCTGGAGACTCACGTCCCCGGTGGGTGGGTGAGTCCAAGCACTCCCATGTGCCAGAGAGAAGCGGCACCCACCCACCGGGGACGTGGCCAGCCTCAAGCCCAGGGCTGCCCCTCGGTCAGCCTTCAAATGTCCCCACTTACTGCATTTGCTCCACGCAATAGCACACCACCAGACTGGGCAAGATTTCTGAGCAATGAAACAAGCTCTTCTTTGCATTACCAAACAGGTCGTTCAGCTTGCTCCAGTAGGCCGAGGACTCAGCGGGCAGGAATGGCTGCAACACTTGGTGGCTGGCAGGGAGCTGCTGAACAATGCTGGTCATCCGGTCCAGGGTCACCGAGCGGGCCGTCTCGAAGAGGTGGCTCCTGTGGCCTCCGGAAACCTCACTTGCGCCGAGGCTCAGGCAGGGGGCCAATAGGCTTGGGTTGAACTCCTGACACCAGAGCATCAAGGGTTAACAACAGTAATTACAAGCTCTCGGTCAGTCTGGGGAAAATGCCAGTGGGAAGGAGAATGCCTGCATTCCCAGTGCACCCAGGTTACGTCACAGAAGCATTGTTGAGAACCCAGCATCTGTTGTAAGTTACGGAGCCCACTGAGCGTTATGCTGAGCCAAGTACATTTGTCTCTTCTAGATACTTTAAAGTACTATTTTGATTTTTTTATATGACTTGAAATAAAAAGCTTCATATGACTAAAACTTTTAATTGATAGAATTGCCAAGGGAAGGCTGACATGCCCTGGGAACTGTGTGGTAACCAAGGCCGCAGTCTGGGGAAGGCTGAGGCAGGCAGGAGCGGTGGCAGTGAACCAAAGCGGCCGCAGAAATGCCCAGATGCCCGTTGGAAAGCTAGTGTTTCACATGGCGACGTTTCCACACGTGCTGGGCTCTGCTGATTGTTTCACCCACCTAAGGCTGGCATTTTTCAGGCACAAGAGGTATTTTGATTAGCGAATATTCAGAAAAGCAGCAACCAAATCGGAACCTCTCAGCTGTGATAGGCACCCAATCAGTGACTTTGGCACATTCACAAGCAAAATTCAACCACAGCGAATGGGCCACCCAGCCGGCAGCCACTCCTGAGCAGGGCTTATGGCACCAAGCCCCAGGCTGTGGACTTGGGGTCACTGGGCCACTGGCTTCAGTGCAGGCTCTTTTTCAGACTTCGGAGCACACAGTGTGTCACCGTCTGCTGTGGTCTCTCTGTGTGCTCGACCCGCCCCCTCCTCCAATCCCCTGGCCTTGAGCGGCCCCACGGACCACATGCCCACCCAGCCCCATTCCAGCTTCAGTCTCGTGGGGTACATGTCACAGAGGACACACACCCGGCTCTAGCAGGTGTGGGAAGGAGGCTGCGAAGGCTGCCAGATCTGCAGGGGGCCTTACTCCAGCTCTGGGGGGAGGGGACCTGAGGACCTGCTCCATGTAGTGGGGGCCTTACTCCAGCCATCTGGGAACAGGAGCATGAAAGGCCTACTGCTGAGTCAGGAGGGAGGAGCCAGTCCATCTAATGGGCAGGGGGCAGGGGGAGCAGGGACTACTAGAGATACATTTGCAGAGCAAGATTTCACTCCAATTATGCTGTGACCCCATTCCCTCATTGCCACGAGAACCACTGTAGATCGACTGTCATCTAAGACCACCTACGCTGTCTTTAAATGCCCAAGAGGGTTATGTAAACCCAACCTGCCCACTTTGGGGCTAGAATCCCATTCCACCACACTCAGAGGTCAATCACAGAATGGTAAAACGCATCCAGGAAGCAGGTGTCTGAGCAGCAAGGGAGGCCAGGCCAAGCTGCCCTGGTGCCCCTCACCCACCAAGTCTATCATGGACGCCCAATGAATCCGCCACAGCCACTCCGTCCGCCACACCCATCAGACATCACGGAATTCATCAAAATCATTTGCTGAGTCCATCACAAAGGCTCAAAGAGTTCACTATGGATGTGTACCAAGTCCACCACAGGCCAACACTCGCCAAGTTCATCACAGACACTTACTGAGTTCATTACTAACACTCACCAAATCCAGCATGCACACCTACTAGGTCCACCGTGGATGGAAGTTTACCGAGTTCATCACAAACACTGAGTGAACCACAAATGCTCACCAAGCCCACCAAGGAAGAATGTTCCCCAAGCCTACCACAGACGGACACTCACTGTGCACACCACAGACACCCATCAAGTCTGGCATGGACGCCTGTCGAGTCCGCTAGAGACCTCAAGTTCACCACAGATGGACACTCACTGAGCACACCACAGACACCCATCGAGTCCATCATGGATGCCCACTGAGTCTGCCACAGACACTCATCAAGTCTGCCACAGACGCCCGCTGAGTCCATCACAAATACTCACCGGGTTCATCATGAATGTGCCCAGCTCGTCGGGAGGGATGCGATGCACCAGCTCTGCGCCTTCCAGCAGCGCGGAGTCCGACCTGGTCCAACACTGGGACTTGACAAGACGTATGTACCAGTCCTGGGGAGGAGATGGTGGATTGTGGGAATGTGGCGGGTGGGGCATGCGAGGCACTGCCACTCTGCTGGCGATGGCTGTTTCTGCCCCCAGCCCTCACGTCCCGGTGTCCCAGACCAAAGGAGGGAGGCCCTCCTCTGCCTAGACTGTGAGTGCCTCCTGGACGCCGTGAGACATCCAGCTGCCCGTGTGGGATGCCTCCTCCATGCACGCAGCTCCGGAGACCGTGCCGTCAGACCTGCTGCTCCTCACTGGACCCCCGTCTGTCAGGCCCCAAACTCAGGCCTCCCCCGGCCCTGCACTGCCACCGTCTCCTACACTGAGCTCTCCTCAGGGAAGCAGAGCACCGCAGAGCACTCGGCTAATTCCTTGCCTGCCGCCCCAATTCCAGACAAACACAGAGACAGGAAGCTGTCCCAACTCCTGCGATCGTGCTCCTCCCTGCAGAGGCTGGATGGGAAAAGGAGCTGGCTCACCAGCCAGTGCCCGAGGAGGCAGCCCTGTCACCACACAGGGTCCCAAACAGTCCCCAGCTCTGAAGGGTGAACGGTGAGGGTGACGACCACTAACAATGTCACTGGACGTGGCAGAGTCCACACGCAGCAGGCCAGAGTGCACGGAAAAAGCACCCACCACTAGCACATGCTTGAAAGCCTGGGCACCGACCATCTTGAAGGCCACGGCCCAGCGGCTCCTCACACCCGACTCCACACTCCTGCCCTAAAGGCCAGGGCTCTGATCGTCCTGATGGCCACGGCCCAGCAGCTCCTCACACCCGACTCCACACTCCTGCCCTAAGGGCCTGGGCTCTGATCGTCCTGATGGCCACGGCCCAGCAGCTCCTCACACCCGACTCCAC